AATTTAAATACAATAAATTTAAAAATAAATATAATATTATATCTTTTTAATAAAAAAAATTTTTTTTAAATTTAATTTACAATTAATTAAAATATTAAAATTTTTAAAAATAAAAAAAAAACTTTCACCCGTTCAACACTGATTTCTTGAAAATTTTCTTATATGGTAATTTTCTTAAAAGAAGCACTTTCCTCTCTCTCTTCAATATGCCAACTATGCCATAAGCTCAAGGACATAAGGACTTTAAAGACCACTGTTGCATTGAGATGGGATCTCTGGTCAAAGGCCAAACAAGTTTGGGAGTCTTGTTTGTCCTTTGGTTACATGGAGAAAGGCTTGTGGCAGTCCTCTTTCTTAATTTTGTCTTTATGCACCTCCTCCTTTATTACTTTTATGATAACTATCCTCCTCACCATCCTCAACATCACCAATATATTCTTAAAAGTACATTCAAGTAAAGTTTTGGGTTCTCCTACTTGTCTCAACTAAACCCTTCCAAACAACAATACGGTATGCTTTACTGCGCCATCTCAATGACTTCAAAAATTCTTTCAAAATCAAAAACCAAAACTAGCTCAGCCCTCTAAACGATCTACACAATCTCAACAGCCAATCCAATTCTGACATCCCAATCCAACAAAAACCAAACTGGTATTAACCTGTTAGGAACGATAACAACAACAACATCACACAAAGACTCAACAAAAACTTATCAAATCAAGACAAAATTCCTGAAAATCTTCTATACTACTAAAAAAAATATTTCCATCTGCTCTAACTTAGCTGTTTATGGATAGGCATAAGTCATTCATGGACCACTTTTGGTGTGGCACCACTTATTTAGTGTAATGTAGTATTAAAAGTTATACATGCAATAGGCTAGGATTAATTCCCACCGAATGAGGTGGTATAGGATTCTTAATGTAATGACAGTACTATCAATTAGTAAATAAAGTCTCGCATTTTATGCTTATTCGTAGTAAAAAAAAAAAAAAAAAATTTTAAAAAGTTTTGTTATACATTATATATATATATAAGCTGAAAAGTAAATAGATTAATTGGTAAGCAGGTTTTTAAGCTATTATTACATGTTAACTTAAATATTTTTTTTGTTTATTTTTTTTTGATATATTATGTCCTTATAATATATTATTTTTTTAAAAAGGATAAGTAAAATAAATTTTATATAAAAAAATTAAATAAAAATCAAACAATAAAGAAATAAATATAGAAGTCTTAATTTTTCTATATAATCTAATAATAAGTTTATTGTTACACAATTAGTAATCTTTGTGATAATAATCTTCTTATATATTACATTTAAACTTGAATAATTTAAAAATAAATTTAATTTTATTATATGTAATAAATTAGATAAATAATAATATAAAGGTTGAAATTAACTCCAAGTATATAATATAGCAATTGTAAATTCTAGTGATTTCTAGGATTTTTAAAATTGTAAGGATTTTAATAATTGTTGTTATTCTAATAATTTTAGTATTATAGTATACAGCAAGTCTATTGCTAATCAGAACTAGGTTTTTCATATAATAATAGGTAAATAGAATTTGTGTTTCTTGTATATCAAAAGTGATTGTTAATAAACTTGCCTTAATTGATTGTTTGTTGCTTATAAAATTCTAAAAAACCACAATGCTTGTGATATGGGATTAGATTGACACCTGAAAAGAAAAAAGTTTATTAACAAGTGTTTTTGATATACAAGTGACATAAAAGCCTACTTACCTATCTACTTACCTATCATTATATGAAAACCTAGTTCTGATAAGCAATAGACTTACCATGCACCAAGAATACTATGAATAACTAAAATATGATTTCAGATATAATAAAAATAATAGAAATAATAAGAATAATTTTTTGTATCTAACATGTAAATAAAGAGTTTAATAATTAGTTTAATAAATTTAAGCTTCTACAATAGGAAACATGAAAATTTTTGAGTAATAGTTTCAAGTGTAATTGTTAAAATTTTTGTTATATATTCTGTAAAGTATTCAGATCAAACCTTTTCCATGCCTCAAGCCTTGCACAGTAATTAAACACTAATGGAATCCTCTAGTCCCTCACAATAGAAATAAAAAAGTAATTTAATATAAAATAACACTTAGTTGAACAAGACACACGAGTAAAACTTTACTGCAGCTCCACCTAAAAATTTTTTAAAATAGACTATATCTTATTTTTAAAATATAATAGTTTAAATTATACAGTAATCGTGTTTTAAAATCATTTTCCAATTGAAATTCCAATACACTATGACATACCAGATCGATCTTATCCGATACAGACCATGTTAAATTTCATAATTTTCTCTTAAATTTTTTCTCTTAACAATGTCTCTTGCACACACTTCTGACGAAAGTATTTCAGATAGATTTGACAAATTTTTACATAATCATCTGAAATTACCAAAAACGCCGTTAACAGAAAGCAGGTGGATGTATGGGATATATTACCTTATTACTTAAGTACCAGCTAATGTAAACTTTGGAACGTAGTTTACCTTTGCAAATTGGTTCGAATATAAAGATAAAAAATCATAACACTTTTCTTAACAACTATGGATCATCTGGATACAAGTTCCGGTTCGAGCTAAATAAAGACAATAAAACTGGCAACGTGTATATAATCGATATGACCTTAGCTGTACATGTGAATGTTATTAGACGGCTTCAGGAATTTTTCAAGGTTCCTAACGGTGGAGTTGTTGACGATCCTCCCATAATAGTCTCTGGACCAGTCTGTAAGAGAACCTATTCTAGTTTGTTTTTATTGAATTTTTAATGATCATAATAACCTTTTCATACAGTACACTATGCACCTAATGGAAGAGGGGTTCGAATAGCTCCTGATGTTACTGTATACCCGGATGAAACATTTGTTCCAAGACCCTCCGCTTCCAACGTAGTGCCTCGTCCTCCCAGTGATGCATCTGTATGTTAAGTTTGATGCATATTATCGTATTTTTGTTTTGTGATTTTCATTATTATGTTTCATGTAGGGAGGTCCTCATGCACGAATAATTTGTGAAGTAGCTGTTGGTCAAAGTGTTGGTTATTTGAAAGAGAAGTGCTTGACTTGGATGCAAGAACAATATGTCCGTGCTGTCATCGGTATCAAGATTTTAAATCCTAGACAAAATATTCGAGAACCTGGAACTGGACATTTCTATAGAATAATGACGGTATATTTTATTTATTATTAAATGAAGATATATCTTTAACGATACAAAGTTAACTGATTGATCTGTTTTTAAAATATTAGGCTAAACTTTACCGCCAAGGAATGGCAGTACAACGGTGGGACTTTGGGAATGCTAAAAAACATTCAAGGGATCCAGTCAACGATCCTGCTGGTTGCAACGCGCCGAACTTACCAGCCTATCAGATCACAATTCATATAAGTGAAGTATTTTGGGATCCGCCGTTTCCTATCACGCCTGCGTATGTTCCAATAATCCCAGCAAACGTAATTGGTACAAATTTTATTATTGACCTGTATCTAATCCAGCGGGTTGCTTTAAAATTTAAATTTTAACGAGTTAAATATCTGTGATTACGCGAGACACTGAAATTTGACTTTGCATGACCTATGGTTACGTGAAAGCGAAATAGGGCTGCCTGCTTCTTCCAATATAATATCAAAACTTTTTTGCGATTTATAAGTATATTATGTAATAGGTAACATAGGGAAATAAATATAGATCAAAAATAAAAAAAAAAATTTAGGAACCTCAACTTCTCATATAGATTCTCTATAAAGACCTTCTTTTCTCTAATTTTGGATATTCCTTTTTTAATACTATTGGATCTAATCATTTTCGATTGATTGAATTGATTTATTTTTGACTCGGCGCTGGGTTTTTTATCTTCATCTCGATGCTCTGATTCTTGGATGCACTTCTTTGATAGAACTAATTCCGATATTAGGTAAAAATGTCAACTAGAAACGAAGGATCACTTATTTGAAAAGATATGAAACTTCATCTAGAATACCAATGCCTTTATCACAACCTTGCAAATAACGTAACGTATACTTGGTACTGCATGCAGTATTTTTTCTTGATACAAAGTCCTTAGAAGATATGACCACATGCTAGTGTACGTATGAACACTTTATAAAAAGTGTCAAAATATTATTAGGGATTTCTTGAATTTCTATATTATGAACAATCTTTCACTTGTGGTTTATAAATTAAAAAATAACTTTGATTATCTGATGGTTTTATCTATTTATTCATACAATTAAAAATTTATCGAAACTTTCGTGCGAACAAATAGAATAATTTTTGTTCGTTAATTAGAATGCATTCTAAAGCATTAAATCTTTGAAAAAAGTAAACAAAAGACATTCGGAGAAACGAAACCATAAGTTTTTTTTTTTCACATAATCAACGAAAAAATAGTGACGTGTGTTGTGTACAATATGTATATGAAGGTACATATTTTACCGTTACCATAATTTAAACATTTCAAGATTGACGATTGAACCGAGTACTGTACAAGATAGTATGCAGCATTGATATAACTCACTGCATTGTTTTCGAAGCATTGACAAGATGAATGCATGCATTAAGCGTTCGAGGAATTACGAAGAACATGCAGGTTCATGTATGCATAAAGAATATCGTATGTAAGCTTGCGACAAATTTAGAAGGTCACCATTGTCCAAAATAGTCAGATTTCCATTGTTTGGTGAACGAGAAATTGGAATTTTATGTGATGGCGCATAAGCTCCGCCACGAATGATTTCAAGATCATTGGACGAGACGTTTGTAAAGATTAATTAATCCACTCGAGAAAAGTATTATGCTGTAATTATAAATAATGATAACTAGTAATTAATTTAACTAAGGATAATGTGAAAATAAATGATATTATAATTACATATAATTGCTTTCACTACATTAATGCGTAAATATACAGTCTAATTTACAAAATGCTACGCTGCATTTGACAACCAAATAAAGTAACTCAATCATCAATAGACCACTTTGCATTGCCCTTTGATTGCTGTTCAAGGTTTCCTTCAAGGTTATCCCACAAGTGATTCAAAGGAATGGATGGCGTTCCATATTCGGTGCCCACGGAGTTTAGCATGGCCTTCCTTCTTTGAACTTTTAAATAAAATTGACACATCTAAGAAATGAAATCTACATCGAAAAATGCAACGCCATAAGATCAAAAATACATACGTAGTTCTTTCAGCCCACTGCCGAAATTTCTTAGCACTATTATTCCATACACTACCAGTAGCTATGTAAATATATTTTAAAACACCATTAAATGGTCGAATGATTAGAAATTTTGACGTAATGATAGAATCCAGAACATCAAAGAAATTGAAAAAAGACAAACCACTGATGTTGCAGACAATACTATTACTGTAATAATGGCAAAAAAAATTCTTTTAGAAAATTTTTTCGAAAAGGTTTTAGCAAGATAATCATTACTTACTTATGGTAAGCAAGAAAATCCAAACATTTCCAAGTTGGTTGAAAAATTGGATGGAACCCACGAGAATAATGAGAAAATCAATTATTACGGCAAACCATAATACTAAGAATACAATCATCCCCTTCTTCGATTCGCTTGCGACCTAAAGTTATTAAGTAAAGCAATTAGGTTTTCCGGTCGTATTTGAGTGCGAAGGATCGATGCGCGAGAAATTACCCACCGATCGATAAGCAATAAATTCCAATATGATGCTTAAGACGGTGGTGGCGATGTGATAACTGCAAGGGATAATATATCGCCGAAACAAGTGGTCTTCGAATTTTAACAAGATTACGAAAGGCAGGAATAACAAGATGATGAAAAACAAGTTGAGCTTTAATAGCATCACAAATATTAGCTGATTCTTGTAAGTTCCTTTTATGTTTCACGATCGTAGTAGTGTTATGTTAGTTGCCGAATTTCAAATTTCGATAAATCTACGAATGATAATATAGATGGATACCTTGTATGTCCAAACTGCCACCAATTTTTTTATATATATTCCACCCAAACATTTTATACCTATAAAGATAGCGAAAATCTTTATTAGACTTGACACTTCTTAAGCACGATAGAATAGAATTACTCACAATTTAAACGAGATATAACCCAAGCTGCATGCAAAGAAGAACAATATTATCACGCAGGGAAAGTCGTTCTCCCAAAATCCGGGATCGAAAGAGGTATTGATGCAATTTGAGTAATCAGATAATTTTCCATTCGCCACGTGGATTTCGATCGCTTGGATCTGAATGTAAAAAACGTTGGATGAGAATTCTACTTCATAGAAACGTGATGCCAAATAAATCAGGATTAATTGAAGAAATTCTTACAATCCCATAAACAGCCCATCCAAAATTTAATGCAGCAATCGAAATGATCTGGAAGTCAATTTTTCATGATGAGAAAGATTTCAGATGTGACGCAAGAAATATTGAACCTTTGAACATATGATACCTGGATAACGTGCTCGTGAAATATCTGTAAATTTATAAAGTCAAAAATCAGCAAATTCTGAAATTTCGAAAGTCCAAAGATATCCCGCTCGTCATTTAATACTCACCGCATTAAAACAAAAATACAGCTGAAACAGCTGAAACATTATATAAAATAGATTATCATAGGCAATATACGGGAAACTTTTGTGATTTAGATCGAGTTTTCCAATGCAATGAAGATTTTGCTGATCATTGGCATGATCGTAGATAAAATCTTGGTAATTGATAAAATTCAGGTTTCGAACATAGACTTTAACCTGTATCGCGATGACGGCTATGGTTTGAAGTATTGATGTGAGAACAAAGAGCTTTGTCATGGAAGTAGCCGTTATTCTTCTCCACTGTGTTAATAAATTAGAAATTTAGTTGGAAAGAAAGGAAGCCGAATAATTTGAAATAAATTAAGCCTAATAACTTCAAGTAATTATATTCAACCACAAGTTCTAGTATATTTCGGCCTGACTTGAGCTACTGCGCATGATACAAATCAATTAGCCTGCACCCAGTATGGTAAAACCCACCTTCTTCGCTACATTTCGTTTAAAGGTTTCATGAAATGTCATGCTCGTATTATAATTTCCAATGCAGCAAACTTTGTTCTCGAATTATGAATGTTCGACCATAGGTAAATGATAATCGTTAACGAAACCGGCTTTCAGAAAAAGTCGACTTTTTTAAATACTGTAGTGAATGTTGACTGTCAATTTCCTTTTGAGAAATAAACTAATGATAATGAAATGCAATTAAACAAAATTTGTGATCAAAAAGAAACAAAAAAGGCGTCTGGTTTATGAAAATCCTAGTGTAATGATGATATCCTGAATAAAAAAAGAATATTGTGATCCCAAAACAAATTTTACATGCATACATATTGTACTCCGACCTGGTCACTTGTCAAACATTTAGAGTACAAGGTCATCACCACACATGTCGTCTAATGATTATTGTAATAGAGTGGCACGGAAAAGTCTAGAGTACAACCAAAAGGTATGAGTAAGCAACCAATCAAGCACATAGAACCCACAGAAAATTCCTACTCTTTAGTGACCACGAGTTTTTTTTTTTTCTTTTTTTACGCGCCTCTCTGGTTTTTTGATAAAGTTTATAAAATATGCGGGCGATTATTATTTGTATTTGTACTTGAATATGTTGATAACAATGTGCTTAGAAAGATGTGTGAAATATTCTTTAAAGAATAAAATAAAAATCAAGGTTATTTATTTTATTGGACAAAAAAAAAATAATAATAATTCTCTAGTCTTTACATCGTTCATATATAGAGACTCTATTGCTTCAACTCAGTATGTGATTAAAACTTTAATATTCCGTAAAGACGAATGGATTGTAACACATCATTGATAGTCATTGGCTATCAATTCCTACATCCCCATGTGGCGAGCAGCACCGTAGGAATATCCCGTGGGCTCCGTTTACTGTACATCACTGTCTATAACCGTATGACAGTTTCCATAATGTGACCAGGTAGGCATACTGTTTTTTTGTGAAGCTCATTACGTAGATTCTTGATTTTTCGAAAGATTCTCGCAATCGCATTATCTAATCTTTTCTCCTTTCTTTTTTTTCGCCCCGATATAGAACCTTTCAGCATGTAACCCTAACCCTACTTCTACTTATATTAGCTGCGACGTGTCCCCCATCTAACGTCGCGTCATGCAAATCTCCAACAGACTCCCTAAACTTTCTTCCCTACCGATGCATGATCTCATGCATCGAGAAATGTCACATGACCCGCACTGATCCCGTTCCTCCTACCATTTCTCCTACATTGCAAACTAATTTGATAGGTTACTAAACAATCGACGGAAATTTAAAATACAAGTCTTAAATATTATGCAGTAACCACTTAAATGTTATCTCAGTGCATGACGTGATCTCGTGCGACATCTGATAGATGAACCTCTAATACTGACGTAATACAGTAATTTATTTATTTATTTACTGTATTTATTGTTTCAATAAGCCGTTCGTTACACTAGAAATATATTTGAAGTGTTATCATACTTTCATAAATCATAAATACGATATATTTTTATAAACTGACAATTTTTAAATATTATTGAACGCTTTTTTATATTTTTAATCTTATAGCGATAACTTGAAAGTAATTATTAAAAAAATGAAAACAAACGAAAGATTTGATAAAATTCTTGCATTCAATGCTTGCCTAAAAATAAAGTAATATCAAAAATATAATTACCGCATATATTATTTATTTATTTTGATTTCAACTTCATATTCGTAATAATAAATTTTTTTTTTTTTATCAATTTTAAAATTAAATTATTTATAATTAATTATTACTTTTTTAAAAAAAGGTGTTAAAGATTCTTTTTTCAGAAAAAGATTGATTTTATTACAAAGAAAATATTTTTCAAAAACATTTTATGAATTTTATTTATGTTTTAAAAGTTTTTTTAAAAAGCACTATGTATATTTTCACAATTATACAATATATATAGTTTTAAATTATTTCTTCCTCCAAAATTGCTTAATTAACATTTAATTACTTTAGAATCAATAATAAATACTTGTCAATTCTAATACTTAATAAATTAAAATAAAACCTGTAATAGTTTAATTTGTCTTTAATATCTTTATTTTTTTATTAAAATAAATATTGGAGTTATAAAATCATTTTTTAAATATATATATATGTATATATATTTGTTAATTAATATTAAAGATTTTTTTATTTAATAAATCAAAATAATACTTATAATATTATTTTAAAAAATATTTGAAAAATTGAATAAACATTTGTATTTAATTTTAAAAATAAAAATTTCTATAATGTTAAAAAAATATAAAAAAATTAATGAAAATTCTAATACTTATTAATTGTTATTTGCAAATATACAATTTATATATTATATATTATATAATATAAAAATGAATATATAATATTTATAATTTAAATTTAATTATTTCAAAAAAAATTTTTTTACCAAAATTAATATATTATTTTGTTTAAAAAAATATTTTTAAAAAATAAGTTTTATTATATATATATATAATACAATACTATTTTAATATTTAATTTTCTTAATTAATTTATACATATAAGATTAATAAGCCCAACTGAATATTTTTAAAAATATTTATTTATAAAACTGGTTTATTAATTTAAATCATTATATAAAAAATTTATTTAATAAAAATATCATTTAAATAATTATAAATAAATAGATTTAATTATTGATATTAAATTTTTTTATTATAAATTGACATTAAATAAAAATAACATTAAATAAAAAATTAAAATTTTATTCAAATATATTGTATATTTATTATTATTATATTAATATCTATATAAATAAATAAACTAATCTTAATATACTATATATTGTTAGTCCTATAAAGGTCACATGGTATAGTTGCGTATCGTGACTATTGTATTACATATCCTGGAAATGTGAAGTAGCATTAATAATCAGCATAGAAAATGTAATCATCGAAGCTTACATAACTTATTATAATTTGTTTTAATCCTGATAGTCTATTTTTCCTTAATTGTTTTTAATAATAGTAGCAACGATATAAATAGCCATACAATTGTAAAATAAACAGTAGGATAGAAGTAGTTAAAAAAAAGAGATAGTTAAGATAAAGAAAAAAACAATAGTGCAATTAATAAACACACTAACTAGTAAAATTGAAACGTCAAATAAGGAATATTGTAATTAACAACTTATCTTTTCCAGTACACACCATATAAGGAAGGATAATCGCCACTATAGGACATAACCCAGGATTATCAAAAAAAGGGCTGGTGTTGAGAAAGAAGAGAAAAGTTTGTTAATAATGAAAAGCCCTAGCTAAATCAATCTTACATGCCTCAACTTACCTTAGTTATGCGAGCATTGGACTAGTAAAGCAACTGACTCACCATTTTCCAGGCCAACAATATATTGCAACTAAACTATTAATATTAATTGTTATTATAATATAAACTTATATTGATAGTATAAAATAATCAATATTTATTTAAAATAATAAAATTATAGTTAAAATAAAAAAGTTCATTATTAATATTGTTATAAATCAAAAGTTTATTAATAATTATAATATAATATTTAACTTTGCAATACTTATATAATAATTGTAAGTATAATACTTATAAAAGATAAAAAAAAAAATAGATTTGATGAATTTGTATAATTTGAAGAGTTTTATTAATTATTTTTTTTTTAATCCTGCAATCAGGTTGGTATTATTTATTTATTAAATCATAAAGAACTATTACAAGTTAAGAATCTATACAAAGTATAAATTTTTCCAATTCAACTCACCTGTTGATAGCTGAAGCCTCTAGATGCGATTTATGGAAATAATGTGTTGTTCCCCTAAAGGATGAAATTAAAATCCCAAATTTTTAATAGAATCAAAACCTGTAAATCATCTCTACAGTATCACTCCTCTCTTGTAATAACTATGCAAGAGGAAAAAGAAATAAAAAAAATTTTTTTGTACAAAAGAAAAGAAAAAAAAAAAAGCTATTATCTATTCAACTATCATTGAAGAGATTATCTCTGTAAACTTCCAAATCCAAGCCCCTTGTAATTTCTCACTTCTTATTACCTGTAACTAGTCAAAACTGTTTAATTTTCATTGAAGTAATTGATGTCCAAGAATATTTAAGAGCACTTTCAGAAAAGTATTTCTTGAGATTTTATGCTTGAAGACTGTAACAAATCTATAGAACGTCCGACCGAAACCCCGATTTTCACCCAAAAGTCAGAAGACAACCTCTCAAACGCTTTTAAGAAACTATAGGTATTTTGAGTAGAGGAACATCTTTTATTA